TCTTCTTCTTTCTTTATTTGGCTGAGGAAATTATGGAATGAATGTAAGGTCTTTTCATCACATGGGTTGCAGGAAATTAAAGAAGAACGTGGACCCTGAATAGACAAGAAACTGCAAGTAATATGATACTATAGCAAGTTAAAATCATCCAATATGAACATGAAATTGTACGATGATTAATAGTTGAATTGAATATGACAACATCAATCAGCTAAACATAATAAGAAAGGGAAAAAAACAGAGTGGCACCTCAAGAATGAGACGGCACAAATAAAAGTAGAAACTTTTTTTTTTTCGAATCATCGGTTGTCAATTTCTCTCAAAATACATAGGTTTAAATGGTTCGTTGTTCTCATATACATTTTTATTATACGGTTCGAAGTGTCTTTCCCGGTAATCACGGAATGAATCTAGAACTAAAAATACCAAATGGTACAAAAATACTCATAAATATCCAAAATACGACATTTGTGTCTTTTATTTACCGCGGATTAATTTGGAGTCGGCTCATTAGATCATTTCGTAATTAGACATGTCCATGACTGTTTCGAACTAATCTAAACTGGACATAATCCGTGGACATCCTATCCAATTAACCTCGTTGGACTTAGTAATCTATATCCGAGAGTTAAAAAAAAATTGTATCTTTCATTGCCCAAAAATCAATTTAATACATTGTTCGGAAAGATACAACATAAAAGATACAAAATTACTACGCCTTGAGAAATTTATCTACCACTAGAATCCCCTCGACGCTAGTTTTCTCTTCTACTTTGGTGTTCGAAATAGTGGCGAGGTAGGGGCCTCACATCCTTGGAGGAGCATCTTTCTTGCTCATTGCGCCGTTGCTCTCTTAGGCGATGTGAAACCTTGAAAGATGACCACGAGCAACGTTCCAAACCATACATTCATCCTTCGACAATCGAGGTGGGCATAGTACATGGTAAGCCAACCCATTCCTAGGATGATTTCGTATCCGCTTAATTCAACCTCCAGCATATCTCCATACATTCTTACATTTTGTATTATAATGGGTACGTTGTGGTATTACATTCTTAATTCCGACTGGTCCTCAGAATTTCCTGCCATGCCGGTGTCTACCAGTCAGGAGTCTTCTGTGACCTTCCCCTGAAACTCTCATCGGCGTGCTACTCCCGGGCTTACGAAACTGTGGGTTGCTCCAGAGTCAAAGAGGATGTTAACGTCAATTCCTCCTACATTTACTATTTCTGCGATGGCGTTGGGGTTTTTGTTCTCCATGTGATTTCGTGCTCCCAGAGCCCTTCGTTTTACCGCAGTGGGTTGTTCTTCTTCCGATCTAGTTTTTCTTACAGAGTCCTCCAAGAGTGTCATCTGAAAAAAGGAACCCTAGATAAATCTAACTTACCATAATAATCATAGATGAAAGAGGCTGAGGAAAAGTTAACGAGAGTCTATAACCACACTGATCGCAAGCCAAGCCTCTGTCAGATTAAGCCCAACAATGGGTCGATTCCGGACCAAGACCTTATCGCTCCGTGAGTCGATCCATATCGTTCTTATATCGAGGCCTTTCTGATTCGCATAACGTCCTACCAAATTCAAGACCAGATGCTAATGGTATGCAGTCGATTCGCAATAGATTCTAAGACTTTTTCTCCTTGATATCTGACGCAGTCGGAAAACCATAGAAAAAACAAGCGATAAACCTAGATCAAAAGCAAGTTCACAAGCGATGAACTTAAAAGATAAAATTTTGGAATCCACCAGAATAGAAAAGCTCTCAAACTCTTATTAAGAAAAATAATATATATGATATGCCTATTGGCTACAAGGTAAAAATGTTTAAATAGCAAAATAAAACCCTAAAAAAATATTCAAAGCCCAAAAAAAAAAAAACACTTAAAAATCCAATACCTATGGAGGACTGTTTTTCTTTCAGAGAAAACGATACATGTGTTTTCATCCCAATTAAGAAAGTTCACTCCTTAGTCAACTACTTTATCACAAGAAATAGGAATTGAATTTTTTTTGTTTAGGTGCAATGGTTGATCTTGATGTGAGTGTAGGTACGGTTTAATCTTAGTGACACGCAATATACAAAAGATGAGCCGATTATTTTTCCAAGTCAGGCCCATGAGATGAGGCCCGTTAAGACGTTGTTTAAGCTGTTACAATTAATACCTACCGGAGTCGAAGCACTTTTTCCTCTGGTTTATTATCTATCTTGGTTGGTTCCAAGCAACCCAAAGTTTCCGAAAACAATCTCTATGCAACAACAAGTTCTTCTATCTTCTTAATCTATTTCTTTCAGTATATTTTACCAAATCTCTCTTTGACCTACCATTATGTGACTTTTAACGAACAACCTTTTTGTTCTGATCTCACTAAAAGAAAAAAGAGCTAAAGTTTCTGAAGATTTACGTCACATGACATACCAGCAATTTAACATCTTGGTGCTTAGATGTCAAATACTATTACACTTTTGCGTTCTTCAACAAACGAAGACTGTCGATCGAAAGATTAAATTCTTGTTTGGTTAATGGACAAAAGGATTTGAGTGATATAAAGATGAATACATATATAGTTTTGGATTGAAGATATCTTACCAAGTGCAATTTAATCCATTAATGGTGACTTGTTGAAAATGTAGTTTGTGTCCTACCATGTTCTCATAGGAGCTTGTTTTGTAGGCGAGTCTCCGAGATCCTTTCGACATTTCATGTTCTTATCCTTATACCCCATGTTACAACGTCCCTAGTAAGGTCTTCTCAGTGATATGTAAAGACATGATTAAGTTGGTCTTCTCAATGATTTCAAAAGACAGGGCCACATTACTTAGAGTCATTTGTTACATCATATCAACATCATCCTTGATTAACCTATGTGCTTGTTGGTGCTTATGAGCTTTAAACTAAGATAAACCAACCAAATGGGTTATCTTAAAATACTGTTCTTTTCTATAAATACCCATCCTTGATTCCCTTGAGCTCTGCAAGTTTTCACAAATTTTTAGTAAAAATCAATAAACTTTCACTTACAATAATCTTTTTTTAATCAAGAACATAAAAGAATCCATGGCTATCAGAATTCCTCGTGTGTTGCAATCATCAAAGCAACTTCTAAAATCGTTCTCGCAATCATCAACCAATGTCGATGTTCCAAAAGGACACCTTGCGGTTTACGTAGGCGAGAAGCTGCAGAAGAAAAGATTTGTGGTTCCAGTTATGTACTTGAGTCACCCTTCGTTTCAACAACTTCTAAAAAAAGCGGAGGAAGAGTTTGGGTTTGATCATCCAATGGGCGGCCTCACTATTCCCTGCACCGAACAAATCTTTATCGATCTCGCCTCTCGCCTCAACACTTGACCGTGACTCACACACGTACCAGTAGATCTAACCCTTTAGTTTCTACTTGTTTTCTTCAAGACAAAAGAAGAGATGCCTACATGTGAAAACCTCTCTCTCTCTTGAAAGTGAAACAGAGCTAGATGTGTTTTAACTGATGTAACATTTGTTTTGTTCCTCGCGATCCAATGAATTGAAGTTAACTCATCAAAACAAATGATTCCTTCTATATCATTTGACAATGAAGAAGTTTGGGTTTACAAAGAGAGCTTAACTAATGGAAGTTTATCATTGGTTAAGTAAACAAAAAGAATACAGAGTTTGAGAAGAACCATCATTTATCTTGAGTCATTAGTTATCACTTCCTGGTGAAACTTGGGAAGAACCATCGAGAACCAGAGTATTGGATAGACAGGAAAACGGGCTGGTGCAGCCGCTGAATCTTCTCTGTTTCAAGATCGAAGATAAAAATATCATTAGAATTCCAAGCAATACTGCTAAAATAGATTGAATTCATATTGATTCATTGTATATCTTTGGCGCGCACGGTGAAACCCAAGTCCAAAAACATTGCTATGTCACCCAAAGAATCAACATTCTCCCACTTCTTTGTCAAAGGATCCATTCCGAAGATGCGAATGCACCATGATGCTTTGGAAGACACATCTCCACTAACAATGTGTCTTCCAAAGAAAGAAAGATTTTGGTTCATCCACCATGTTGAAAAAGAAATCAACATACACATCAGTCTCAGGAAATTCCCGTGGAAGCACTCTTAAGAAATCTGAGATTCTGATAGTGCCATCACTGCAATAGACATAGAACTTGTGATCTTTGTATACCATGTCATAACACTCTCCAATGCATTAGCAATCAGGAACTGGTCTCCACAAATCATCTCCTTTCTTGCAATCAACCACATAATGTTTTCTACATAATCCTTGCTTTCCTCATCTACCTAAAACACAAAGGAGGAGAGGTGGGCATGAAGACCAGCTCGAGTTTTATTTTACCAAGTTGTGACTCCAAAAGAGGTAGATTGATTCTCTCCCAGGTTAACAGATTCAAGATATAGAGATTCGGTAAAGGGCTTTGCATGAGGAGCAAGCTTCCATAAGTCGCCACACACGTACACTGTGCAAAACCCACACCGGATAGAGGGTTGGAGATAATGTTAGAGTCGGCACCACTCAAGAGTTACCAAAACGAGGGTGGATAAATATATCTTACCTTCTGTAATCACTGGGGAGAAATATAACTGTATATATACCAAACTTTGAAGAAGATTCTTGAAACTAATCTACCATAGTAAAGGCATTTATAAGTTATAACATAGGCCTCTATTGATTTGGGAAAACTCACCTAATATAGCACATGGCTTTGTCTCTCTTTTGACTTGATTGTTTGTGATCTGAAGAACAATTTGGCAGACCAAGACGGACCTGACCCCCTCCAATTGAAACGATGCAGCTGATGTTTCTACCATCAGACAAATCCATGTGAACATCTTCTCAAGACAAGTGTGACAGTGAGTTCTTGATTCTTCCTGCTAAACAACTTCAAAAAGTCTCCTCCTACACACAAACCCTTGTGGTGCTGCTGCAATGTCCCACCATGTGAACTCTTCCCATACATGTCCACCTCTTGTAGGCCATAGAACAATCTTCAATGAAAGCTTCACCTTATTGGTTTATATATGTACAGAGAGAGCACTAGTCTTTCATCTAAAAACAAAACCAAATCATATTCAACAATTCAGAACTTGGGCAGTAAGCCTTTTTCCCTGAATCCATCCGTAGAAACTTCATCAAACTTTTGAGACAGAAATGGCTTTGATGAGAAGTCTTTTGGCTGCAAGGAAGATTCTTACAAGCAAGGCAGCTTCAACACCAAAAGGATTTCTTACGGTGTATGTAGGGGAGAGCCAGACGAGATATATAGTACCAGTTTCGTTCTTGAACAAGCCTTCTTTTCAAGCTCTGCTGAGTAAAGCTGAAGAAGAGTTTGGGTTTGATCATCCAATGGGCGGCTTGACAATTCCTTGTCCTGAAGAAACTTTAGTCGCTATAGCTGCACAGCTGCGATAGAACCAAATGAAGAAAACAGTTTTGAAATTCCTTAATCCTTTTTACTAGGGAATTAGAATCCAATGTACATTCATACTTTTTTCCTCTTTCTAGTTGAAAGAGTTGTTTTCAAAGGAGAGAAATTTAATGGAAATATGCCTCACATCATTTCAAATAACATCTCTCTCAATAGCCTAATTATAAGAAATTAGAAAATATATCTACCACTGTAGAATTCACAAGAGAGATTTGTGTAATCACACAATCTCTTTCTCGAGTTGTCTTGAACACACACAAGAAAGAAAAAAACTTTCAACAAAAGTACAAAGATTGTATAATGCAACACTAAACACACATAATGTACTACTTGTCAACCCAACACATTTGATTCAGTATTTGCATTTCACGTTTCAACCACTGAACCTGAATCTCCGCTAGTGTCTACGAAACTAGCTTTTGGGTTGTGGATAGGAGGATTTGCCCATTTCTGAATCTTCATATCCAGAAAATTGACGGCCGAGTTAATCTGTAAGAAAAGCAAAAGCTGAATGAAAAAAATCGAAACTTTCGGATTCTCAAAGAATTGGGGAACAAGAAAAGCTTACAGATTGTGAAGCAGTCTGAAACAGAGTTTTCCCCAAGGGAAGTACACAAAACCTGTTGGTTCCACAGATACTTGATTCAGTTTCTACTTGCTTTCATAGATTCCAAGTGAAAAGAAGAAGAAGAAGGGCTAGTCTTACATTCCTCTGCCGCCGGCGAGAGCTTCTTCCGATGGGTCCTTCCATTCGTCGACCCTAGAAGCCAAGACAGAATCATTTGTGTTTATCTCCATTCAAATTTTAAAAAAAAAAAAAATGGTTTTAACTGATAAAGACAGAGACTTTACTTACACCCAGCCGTAACGGCGGTCAAAGAGGAGGCGTCTGGAGGAGCATTTGGGTGCAGTGGCCGGTGGTTCCATATCTTCCGGTGTATAGCCTCGCTCAGACCCAAAATAGATAAAAGGAACGGTGGAGATTTGGGGCCTATTGGTACTATTTATTTAACAGCCCCTTCC